ATAATGACTACAGCATAATCCATAGACTAATAAAAACAATCATCGCTTAATGCCAAGCTACACATATCGAGTTTAGTGACTGTCTTTGTGACCTCACACAACTAAATATGTGAACTAAGCATCGTTTCTCAGCTTACGGTACGCATACCACTGGTGGTACGCGAGCCAATGTTGAGTGGTACGCAAACTAAGTAAGAAAATCAAAAGATAATATTGATATAAGTTTTCCCTGAACACATTTGGTTAGTGATACGCCAGCGAAAAAGAGAACCCCTGAACTATAGGAAATAAGATTGGTTGAATTCTTGCATGCATGTAATGTATTATATATCTAAACCAACATTTTAAAATGTGGCGATAGTTAGAATTTTTGACACTATGCCTGACAAATTTAATGTTGTATCCAACGAGAAAATGAAATATCTTCAACATATTAAAATGTTAAACAAATTTCGGACTCCACATGGTGAATGGCCATCAGTGCTAATCTGTAGGCTATCATAATTATATTAATAACAGCACACTTGTAACGTTCTGTTGAAATAAACAGGTGAAAAACTGTGATGTATACTGCACACATTACATGTACTGAGTAATTTGATATACTGAAAGTTGAGGTCCTTTGTTTAAGATGTATGTTCTCACAAGAATCAATTTCTGGTGAACAAATGGATCAGTAGAGAACAAAGAAAGCATTTAAAGGAGTATGGTCAGGGGAATGAGGTGAGATCTGTCCTTGCCAATCCATTTCTCTCAAACTTGCTATTTTAAGAAGCTTATTTGTTCCTTGTGTAAATGTGAAGGCACTCTTTAACTTCTTGAAACAGCTCATTGGAACCCTTTCTAAATAGACGTAAGGATTCCTACATATCTAGGTTCGCTGGACTGTCCCTTGCATGTTCAATAACCATATTAATTATCAGATATGTTAAAAAATAATATAGTACTTTATAAAGGTACATTAAAATAGGCTACTTTGTTGTGAATTCAAATAAAATGTTTGAGCGACCTCTGGTAAGTAATATAGTAAATAAGTGGGATGACTTGTAATACTTACTGGGAAAAGGGAAATGTGATTACAATGAAAATATTCACAGAGTACAATTTTATTTTTGACTATTTATATTTTAGTATTTCCCTTGAAAATAAAAAAGGTTAAAAAGTATTTTATGAAGACAGACAACAGAATTATTTTGTAATACTTTCTAGACTAAGCAAATAAAATTCTATACATAACATTCCTTATAAGTTAATGTAAAATATACAACATTCCTGTCTTTACAAACACTGTACCACTTATTTTGATTATTGGTACTAATCTAGCAGTTTAACAATTATTATTATTATTATTATTATAGTCTCTGAAAGACATACACTCTGCCACACATATTTATTTAAAAAAATATCATTTTTGAGAAACTAAGCAAATCTATTGTTATTTGGTTCATTTCAGAACAGTAGCATCACTCATAGCTGCAATCCACCTGTAACAAAAAAGTATTTATGAAACAGATACCCTTATTCCTTCTCATATACTAGACATTTACAAATCTGGTGAATCATGGAACATTTGGTGACTGAAAAAAGAGGGTAAAAAGGTTTGTTCTTTAATATTTGTCCCGATTAAGCAGTGACCCAATTAACCGGTATCTACTGTATATCCGTAATACACTGCGGCTAAATGTGAACAGAATTCAAACTGTTCTCAAAAGGTGACAGAAGGTTAGCAATAATTTAGAAATGTAGAAGGCAAATACGTCCCGCGCCGTAGCCACGCTGTCTGAGGCATCATGCATTGGACCGGCGATACGGAATGCGCACTGGTTCGAGTCTCGGGGGAGAAGAAATTTTCTCGTGAGCTTTCGACCGGTGCCAACCCGGCATCGTGAGGAAATTGGGGAGCTACAATGAGTAGCGTAATCTGGTCAGGAAAGTTAGCAATGGCTGGGGGTTCATCATGCTGACCACACATCACCCTATATCTGGTTGGATGATCGTTCACCTCTGCTTAGGCATGTGAACGTGAGGCCAGCAGTCAAGCTAATCGTCGGCTTTGGCTCTCTGGAGCTGTTACGCCACAGATTTAATTTTTTTTATAAGGCAAATACAATCCACACAGTAAGACTGTAAAGTATGAATCAAATCTACATGACTGCAAGCAAAGGAGAACCACATGGGCAAAATTTACTACACACTAGATCACTGCAACAAATGAGGTTAATATAGGACTTGATATACCTCACGGACTGTGACTAACATTTACCTGTTGGCCAAGTGTTCACTGTCTGCGTGGAAAATTAGCGGATGCTGTCCAGGATGTGCCAGCTGGAATACTAACTTAGCATCAATGCCTTCATACAGTTGAAAGTGCCTCTGAAACACAGTATACACATATTAGTTTGTCCAATAATTTTGTGCACTACAAATATATAATATACATGGTAAATACAAGAACCGATAAAGATTTTGGAAAAGGGGGGGGGGAGGCAATATATGAATATACTTGAAATATATATAAAAAAAACAGTAAAACAGAGGGACATAGTTTAAATGACACATATGCCAATTGTATAAATCACATCTTTGAAACTGTATGGATGGAGTATATGGATTGGTAAAGTTTTGAAAATAGGAAACAATTTTACTGATCATGCTTCATGGATAATACTGAATATACATAGAGAAAGTCTATTTATATATAACTTCACAATTAATGTTTCAAAAGTTCAATTTAAAATATAGTAAATATGCCCTCTCATACCCGTCTTTGATATCTGAAATCAAAATATCAAATGATGTAACTCCATAAGTATATAATGCAGATACCTGAATATTCAAACTGAAGCATGAATATGCTTTAATATGGCTTTGAATTTTGAAGTTATTTTTATCCTTACATAAGCATGTGCAAATCTGTGCTTTCCAATGAGCCAGGTAGCTCAGTCAGTATAATGACTGACTATGGTCTGGACAATTGGGTTTGATCCCCAACAGGGGCAGAGGATTTTCTTCTAGCCCCTGCATCCAGACTGGCTCTAGGACCCACCCAGCCTTCTGCCCAATGGTTACTGGGGGTTCTTTATCCAGGGGTAAAGCACAGCCAAAGTGAGATGCTGACCAATAACCATCTAGTGCTGAGGTTCAGAATGAGTAGGAGCCTGTGTGCCTACATGGTGCAAAACAGGATAGCTTTACCTGTTCTTTAAGCGTGTGCTTTCCATTACTGTTATTTAGAGTCACACACAACAATTAACCACGTGTTAAAGAATGTAAATAACACTATATTTAATTTACTTTTTATTAGTATGATCAGCTTATTTAATGATACTTTATCGACTGAAGTTATTTAGCAATGAATGGAAGGATGATTTTTAATAGTGAATTGGGAAGTGTTTGGGGCTCATTTTAAGATAATAGCCCAACATTAACTGGAAAGACTGAGGAATGCTAAGTAAAATCTCAGCCAGCCATATCCTTGGCCTTAAGGCTGAGGACTTTCCTAAATGTGAAGGACTCTACAATGATAACTATGATTTGAATATACCAATTTTTACTGATACATTTCTTTTGCCTGCTCAATACAGAATGAAATACTCACAGGAATTAATCTTAGTCTTTAACTCATATAGATGTATAAATTGAGACAAGGACAAATATGAATAATTTTTAGTAAGGGCAAATACTCATAAATTGGTTAAAAATTTGTTCAAGCAGAACATATATATCTTGATAATACCAGTGAGGTGTTTTCTTTCAAGCTTTATACACACAAACAGCTATTATACCTCTTTCATTGGTTCCACTGCATAACCTAAAACAGGAATGCTTTCCAAAGCTACCACATCCTCCGAAGCCTTATAGACATACAGAACTTGTTCCTTCAGAACAAACCATAAACGTTTCCATGAACGGCGGGATCGTCGCTGTAGCCATCCACTCATCTGCGAACCAGTATCATTAGCAGTCACCTGGAAGCAAAACAATCAAGCAGAACTTGTTGACTACCTAACTATCTGGAAACTTAATAATACTTTGTTTTATCATGCACTACTTCTGCTCTACTGAACTACGAGGGTCGCTCATTAAGTAATGCCCCACATTTTTTTCCTCAGAATATATTTATTCAAGATGGCTGAAATTTAGTGACAATATAAACCAATGTTTCCCTTACACATACTATTTTTCCACATAGTCCCCATCAACTTGTACGGCTTTACGCCATCGTGGAACAAGTGCGTGCATGCCTTGCCGGTACCAGCTCTTGTCCTGTGCACGTAGCCATGTCCTCACTGCTTGAATCACGCTCTCGTCATCTTCAAATCTTGTTCCGCGGATAGCATCTTTAAGTGGCCCAAAGAGATGGAAGTCGGAGGGTGCCAGATCTGGACTGTAGGGTGGATGGGGTAGCACCGTCCAACCCAATTTGGTGATTTCTTCCCGGGTTCTCGGACTTGTGTGAGGGCGTGCATTGTCGTGCAGGAGCAAAATTTCTGCTGGATGCTTGTGAGGCCAAACTCGTCGAAAACGCTTCTTGAGGGTTTTCAGGGTCCTGATGTACGCGTCTGAATTGATGGGCGCACCTCTTGGCATCACATCCACAAGAATGACCCCATCACTGTCCCAAAAGACAGTCATCATGACTTTTCCGGCGGAGGGAGTTGTCTTGAATTTCTTCTTTCTCGGTGATAGAGGATGATGCCACTCCATTGACTGCCTTTTTGTCTCTGGCTCAAAGTGGTGTATCCAGGTTTCGTCACCTGTAATGATCCGGGACAGAAAGACCTCTCGGAGCTCGGTTTCTTCACTTCCTGAAGCTTTAACTCTCTTAGCCCAGCGACCAACGGTGCTCCTATCGACTGCACAGCTTCCATACACAGCACACAAACGTTTATGAATGTTCACCACAGTTTCTTTTTCAGCAAAAAAGAATTCAATTACAGCTCGTTGCTTGTAACGAGAGTCGTTCACAGACGCCATTTTAACAGTTCACTACAGCTCCGCCATTGGTTGGAATCATTTGAAACTCCGTACACGAACGCGAGAAACATCAAATCTCAAGCATGTAAAAGTACACTTTTCTATCTTCATTATTGGCTGAGAAAAAAAATGTGGGGCATTATTTAATGAGCGACCCTCGTACTTCCTATTTTTTCTCATATAAAGAATTCATAATGAAATCCTGTACTTTGACTAAGGCAGGTCATACACAAACAAGATGCATAAAACTGGTTTCATGGAACAAGTTTCAGCCAAACAATTTCTTGTTGAACAACACACAGGAGAAATCTGAGGTTCTCACAGTGCTGAAGATGATATTTTTTTCTGGGTTGTGACAACATGTAGACACCAACCTTAAAGAGAAACATACTTTCTACATCTCCAGGGCTGAAGATGGAACCAGTTTCATGTTACATCAGTTGTGCAAAATTGTTTCATTTAAGTAAGTGACTACCAATTTCAGAGAATACCACTTTCAACCAAACCACAGTTTTCAGTTTTATGAAAGTGATTACTCTGTCGATGAATTTCTAATGTTTACAAGTAAGTCGTAATTTATCTATTGTATATAATGGGTGGATTTATTTGTAAATTATCTCTACTTCATGTGAACCCTTTGTTTGTATTTTTGTGACATTTATATGACTTGTATTTGTATAACATGTATTGTATTATTATGACTTATTCTACATCCTATTGTCATCTGACTAACTTATGGATCCATGGAATGTAATAAAGATGTATGTATGTATGTATGTACGGAACCAGTTTCCTATGTGTATGACCAACCTAAGACCTGAAAACTATTTTTGAAAAATATTTAATAGAGGTTTAAATACTATTTGAAGAAATACCATACTACATTAGTTCCTCAGTAAACTCAGTGAAGATTACCTCTTTGAGTCGTTGTGGAATATACTTTTTTATTTTCCTTCCACTAGCTGGCCCAAGTTTCTTGAAATTATCTATGATTCTGACTGCATTTCCCAGCTCACGTTTCATTGCTTGATTCACTTCGGATGTTGGGTCCGTAGCCTCTGGCAGGGAGAAAAAAATGCACATTCAAAAAGGTAATACACGAAACCAAAAACAGCAATTTTGATTTATGTATAAGAGTAATATATTGGATGGAATACGAATAACCCATTTGACAACTGTGAGGCTTCATGCAGGAAAGAGGTCTGGCTTACATTTAGTCTGTGGTTGGACTCAATACATTTGTTTACTAAGTGAACACAAGACGAATAGTTATCTGTACAATAGAATATATTGTAACGGTCCAAATTACATCTTCTGCTGAGGTAATTTAATCATACTATTTAATTTCTTATTACTTTATTAATCTGAATTTGTTTTAGTTTCCTTTTCAACATTTTAACTTTTCTGTGGTGTTTGGAGTGTAATACTGGGATGGATACTTCCATTTCATGGCATCTACCCAAGTGTTTATTTAAGACAGAGACGTGCAAGGACCTTCGGTTCCCAGAAGTCTTGGTTTTTACACTAATTGTCATGAATTGGGTGTAGTCCCATGTGTCACACTTTGACATTTATGGCTTCAATATGTCGAAAGTCAGTTTGGGCTTTATGGTTCATTGTCATTCAGCAGACGAATGTTACTGGGCAATGCATTGTAAGGTGTGAGTGAGGAAATTTGAAAGAGCCAATTAGACACAAGAGCTGTATGCAAGTGACTACATCACTGGTTTTGAATGTTTCAAACCAGGAACATGACGCTTCCAGCAGCGTGTTAGTTTGGCATTCTACAAAAAACTTTGAACATTGTCGCATGTAGACATTCAAGTCTAATACAATTCTGAAATCATCTTCTTGTGGCTAGAGCCAGTTAATATCTGTATTATTCTTAACAAAATAAAGGAGTGTAAAATATTCAGCAAAAGTGGCAGCCTCCAGTTGTTGGCAGTTACATGCCGCGAACACCCCGGAGAGAGTTGAGTGTCTACCGAGGAGCCAAGCTCCTATCACTGAGCGGCTATACTATTCATAGACTTCAAGGAATCATATGAATAAGATAAAAGAGAAGTATTGTACAATATTCTCATTGAGTTTGGTATACCCATCAAACTAGTTTGGCTTATTAAAATTTGATTAGAAAAATTATAGTAAAGTCCATATAGGTAAACATTTGTATGACGTTTCCTAATCAAAATGGTCTAAAACAAGGAGATACTTTATCACCATTGCTTAACAACTTTGCTTTAGAATATGCAATTAGGAAGGTTCAAGAAAACAACGTGGGACTGAAACTGGTCTATGCTGATTACATAAATCTAATAGGGGATAACATAAATATCATAAAGAAAAACATACAAACTCTAATTGATGTTAGTAAGGAGGTAGATCTATTAGTGAACAGAGAGAAAACTAAGTATATGTTGATGTCTCATCACCAGAAAGTAGGGAAAAATCATAACATAAAGACAGCTAATGGATCCTTTGAAACTATGTCAAAGTTCAGATATTTGGAAGCGAACAGTAACAAATCAAATTCTGATTCATGGAGAAATTAAGAGCAGATTAAATTCGGGTAATGCTTACTACCACTCAGTTCAGAGCCTTGTCTTCTTGTCTGCCGTCAAGAAACATAAAGATTAAAATATTAAAAAATTATAATTTTATCAATAGTTTTGTATGGATGTGAAACTTGGTCTCTGACACTAAGGAAGGAATGTAGACTGAGGGCGTTTGAGAAAAGTGTGCTGAGGAAAATATTTTGACCTAAGAGGGAAGAATAAATAGGAGGCTGGAGAAAGTTGCATAATGAGGAGCTTCATAAGTTGTACTTCTTGCCAAATATAATTAGACTCATCAAGTCAAAGAAAATAAGATAGGAAGGCCATGCAGCATGCATGGGAGAGAAGAGGAATGCATACGGGGTTTTGGTGGGCAAACCAGAAGGAAAGATACCACTAGGAGGACCTAGATGTGGGTGGGATGATAATATTAAAATGGATCTAAGAGAAATAGTATGGGGTGGAATGGACTGAATTCATCTAGCTCAGGATAGGGACCAGTGGCAGGCTCTTGCGAACATGGTAATGAACCTTCAGGTTCCATAAAATGTTGGGTATTTCTTGAGTGGCTGAGTGACTGTTGACTTCTCAGGATGGACTTGGCTCAATGGAGTAAGTTATTGGGTTACTCATGTTAGAATAATTTGGTAAATCATGGAAAAGCTGGTTTATATTATAGGATCTATGGAGAATGGGAGGTTTGATTGTATTAGGATTAGCAAGTGAAGGTTTGCAATATTCAACTTACTGTTTAAATGTGTTTGACTGACATACAATAAAACCCATCTTATGCAATACTCTATAAGATGAAACCTTCATAACAAAGAAAATCCTGGGGTCTACTGAGCTACTTCTATAAATTACTACTTCTCATGCATAAAAATTCAAATTTGGATTCCTGTATTTTGTTATATGGATGTTTGCAGACCTTTAAGAAGAGTATTATGGCATTCTTCACAGACACGAGCTGACTGGAATCTCATGTACTGGAGGGGCGCTCTGAAGTCGGAGCAGTCACCACACACAACCTGAAAGAACACAAGACAAGTCTCTGTACATTTATAAAAGAAGTGGAAAAAGGATATCTCTAAGAGTTTTACATAGCCTTTGCACCACACTTTAAAACTATATAAAGACTTAATGAATAATATTCTTATACTATGTCTGTCTGTCTGTCTTTCATATTAAGATGGGGAACAATAGCAAACAAAAGAAATTTTATACTGTGGTAGGCTGGTAAATGTTACTATATCATTTTTCAGTTTTACAAAATTAAATTAATTCCAAGTTTTACAACAGTTTACATTTAATAAATAGAACCCTAGTTACACTGGTGCCTTTTTTTGGCACAATGCGACAGAACAATAATTCTGATCACAGGATTACAATAAAGTTCTTGTACTGAATTTTAAAATTGTGTAACTATCTTTTTAAACTCGACTTATAATAGAATGGATATGAAGAAACATTCACACAGTATCTAGCTGAACAGCACTACAAAGAATCTGGAAGTAAGATAAATGCAATGATAACAATATAAGTAATACAGATCCAGCTATAATTTCAATTACAATTATGTACTGACTACTACAAGTGCGTATATTTTGCAATAGCACGTGAAGTATTTGTTTAAATATGGCAAAAAGCAATTCGAAGGACTGTGGATATGCATTAACCTTTGTCATATGGGAATAGCAGTTTCAAATCTCTATATCACATTGATACCAGCATACTTAACTTCAGGTTTTCAGGCAACAGATTATTACTGTGACATACAGCCAGCTGGACCAAGCATAAGCTGTGATGCACAGCTGATAAAGGTTTGTAAACAAACTGGTGACAGCAACAAAGAAAACAGGTTTGTTATGTGCATTAGTAAGCAGCAAGAGAGAGGAAAGAGTACATGATATAAGTACTGCTAGTTGAAGGTATCTTGAGCATTATGTGAATTACAATGGTCACAGTTTAGGTTAAACTATAGGTCAAACAAACTATATTATATTAAATAGTAAAGTAAAGCATCCCACTAACGCCATGTAGGTGCATTGGGGGGAGTGGAGGTATAGCTCCTACTCTTTCTTGACCTCGGCACTAGATGGGGGTGAGTGGTCAGCAGCACGCCCCGACTGCGCTTTACCCCCAGGAAAGGATCTCAGTACCCATTGGACAGGAGGCTGGGTGGGCCCCAGAGCCAGTTTGGATGCAGAAGCTAGAGGAAAAATCCTCTGCCCCGTCGGGGATCGAACCCCGGTCGCCCAGCCCATAGCTAGTCACTATACTGACTGAGCTATCCCGGCTCTTTATATTATATTAAATAAAATACAGTATTTGCAACTGTACAACTAGAAACATATTATACATATCTACTCAATTTAATTGCAATGAAATGAATTTTCTTTATTATAGTAACACTTTGGCATATTTAAGTATAATTACTTCAACAAAGCAGCATGTAAATGCTGATGAATGATTCTCATTTCAAACAACCATCTGTTTGTTGCAACATTTACTGACATAGGTCTTCCCTGAGTAAACAATGATTCCAATGAATAAGATATGTTAAGAACCCTGTAAAAAGGAGCCTAATGCAGATTTGTACAGCAAATCCAAAAAAGAATTGTGTGAAATAAAATTAATTCTGTTAAATGAAAGGCTATGAATTAAAAGTGAAGATAAATTCTATGAACATATGTAATAGGCAACATTACAGTACTTTCAGAGATCCAAAGTTCTTGGCCTTCCTCTACCACTAAGTGCATGTGATGTATCCTATGCTAAATGTAAATTTATTTTCACAAGTGAATATGCACTCTCTTCCAAGTGACTGCATCAGATATAATTCTAAAGAAGTAAATACTTTAATAGAATAATAGGAAAGAGGTTAAACCTTTCCACAAGCCCGACAATGATGTCGCCGAAAGGTGACAGTGAACTCAGCAGTACAACACTGGCACATGGTGACACGGCTGTCTTGAATCCACACAGGAGCCTGGAAGTAAAGTAATGTAACATTTATTATTTCAACTTCCTGCCCAAGGTGTGAAAAATTATAAACTGAAAAATTACATTAGGTAAGAGGATAACCATACCTGCCAGATTTAATTCACAGACAGACATTTAACAAGTGAGACATCTTTAAAATAATTTAGCATAAGAAGAATGTTCACTACAAGCATGAGGGCAAAAATTAATCAAATATTATACATGTACTCAAGCTGCTGAGTAAATGGAGCTGTATACTGCACAGGAGATCAGGGTAAGTACATATCTTAAAAGTAGTTCGTCTACATTTCTGCATCATCAAAATGCATTTCTGATTTCAGCTCACTGTTTTGTATGTATTATAATTTTCCTTATTAATCAATCAATTTCTCTATTATGTTGCTGAATCATTATTTTTATCTTCTCATATTCATAATATAAAATAAATAAGTCCTTATTTACTGGCTGAATGAATTTGTGCAATCATATTTGGTTCATTTAAGGACAATGTGGCAACTACAGAGCATATACAGCACTTAAAGTGGAATGAATGAAAGTTTATGGTTAGTTCAAATGTTGGAAGATTCAAGCACAACTTATTTTAAGTGTGATCTTCGCATCTACTAGAACATCATAAATACTTAACTCTTGTCCAAGTCTGAATGGCTCTGACGAGTCTTCATTCTTTGGGGATGAAGTAATTTTAATGTTTTGGAACGATAACTGACGTGAAGTGTAGTCTGTGATAGCTTTGTGGAGAGCATCTACCCACTCCTGGCGTTCATTCAAGGAACTGAAAAAAAAATCTATAAGCAAAGTATAATTGCAAGATAATGGATGAAATTAATGTTTGAGAAACTGCATCATTAATTATTTTAAAGTTGGTCCAACTGTACTGGTCAATCATTACTGTCAACAAATCAAACCTGATTGAAAATGAGTTTTAAGAAATGTGCCTTTCTCTTTACAATGTTAGGGACAGTTGTTGATGTATACAGCATAGAAAATAAAATGTTCTATAAAGTTTTTTCATTGTGAAATCCTGATGCAGATAACAACAACATTTTATAATGGTTCTGAGACAGCCCTAAATAATGAGAGTATGACTAGTGGCACTAGTTACATTTATGTGGACACTGGAAAAAAACCATTAAGCAACAATATTCTTTATTAGATGGAGCACAGTTTTTGGGTAATTTCTTTTTTACCTATTGAAAATTAAAAAGAGGTCTGCCAAGAGGTGGAATCATGTAAATAGTCAAGGTTTGTTTAGTGACACTATCAACTGGAAGTTTATGGAGCATATATCATGAAACAGAAAGGATTGGTGTGAGAAGCAGTTGTGGCCTAAATCAATGTAATATCCAGATATTCAACTGGAATGCAAAGGAAAACCAAAGAAAACTTCAGTTAGGATGGCCAATACTGCTGCTAAGATTTGAATCATGTAAATCAAAAGTCATGTGTTTTATTGTTATTTGAATGCACTTGGAATTTAGCTGCTTCAGTTATTAAGTAAGTTCTGTAAATTTCAGTGTTGTAATTTATTTTTCCTCACATAAGTATGACAAAAAATACAGAAAGACATGTCAGTCTGCTGTGAGCCAAGCTCCTTATTCAACTGGAATTAGGGGTTCTTTCTCTTTTGATAAGAGCAGCGAGAACATGAAACTACATAATTTACGATGTCAAGAATGTGTGAAGCATTATTTCCATGACCACTGTATGCTGCATTTAGTCACTGTCATGGAAGACAATTTCAGAAACTTCTTCCTGGACAGCAAAGACTGGGCTCCATGTGATCTGATATATTTGTGTAAGTGGGTGTGCAGTGGCTAATTTGGGCCACTCAAACACAAATACCTTATGATTAAGATAGTCTGTAAAACATCACATTTTTACTCTGTATCAAAGTTGCTGCTAACCCAAGAATACTTCATTGCATTTAGTTACCTGAAAACTTAACATTTTGTTACTAGAGAGAGATTTATGAAATTATTAGTTTAAGTAAAAGTAAAGTAAAGTAAAGTCATCCTGCTACACACCATGTAAGTCGTTTGGGAGGAGTGGATGTACAGCTCCTACTCATTCTTATCCTAGGCAATTAATGGGGGTGAGTTGGCAGCATCATGACCCAGCTATGCTTTACCCCCCACTCATTGGATAGGAGGCTGGGTGGGCCCCAGAGCCGGTCTGGACACAGAGGCTAGAGGAAAAATCCTCTGCCCGTCAGAGATCAAACCCCAGTCGTCCAGCCTGTAGCTAGTCACTATACTTATTGAGCTATCCAGGCTCCATTATTTTAAATAAGCATTTGTAAATTAGTGACAGTAGCAGACTCCATTTGAATCAGGTCAGCATTCTGAACCATCTTGTCTTAGAATGGGATGTGTGAAAATGCAAACTTGTTGCTTTGTTCTTTGGTAAGCTGCAGGATTAAAGAAACTTATTGACAGTTCCAGCTGATGACAAAAAATTATTCTTATTTTCTTATTATTCTTCAAATAAATTTCATGGGGTTCCCAATTTTAAATTAGAAATCCCAATGTAGTTGAATCTCAGTTGCCCCAAAGTATTAGATTAACAATTCTCAGTCCTCCAACCGAGAGTCTTTTAATAAAGTTATAAATCATTCTGAGCAAGGGTGCATTTAAAAAGATAAAAAATAAATTATGTAGCAACTTTTATGAATATTTCGTTGACAATTTTTGTTAATTTATTCAAAACTAAAGGCTCACATACACAGCCTGAAATTTTAAGGTGTTAGCAACCATGTAACCTATCAATAAAATAAAAAAAACTAGGAGAGTTGTCTAATAAAATACTTCATGCTTTACTGCTTTGATTCCTGCAGTAAACCTATGACTAGATAATACTGGAGAATTCACTACTTTATCAACTGGTGTCAAGCTCCAGTACATGGTGAAAGTGGTTAGTGTTACTTAAATACTTAGTAGTGAATGTATGAAGGTAAATTTATTATGTTACTGTTATTCTGAGTCATTCCTAAAATAATTTACAACATATGTGTAGAAACTATAACATGAAACCATAATATACCTTCCAGTCCTGTGCTTATAATTTCTTAGCTACAAAACTATAATTTTAACATACCGTGCAGAAAGTGTGAAGCTCCGTTTGACACTGATGATGCTGAATTCATTATGGTAGTCTTCTGCTTGTGGAATGCTAACTTTCATGCTGTTCAGTGGTAACTCATAGTTCATTTTGAGCCCAGAAGACTGCACTGATCCATAATAAGATGTGTACAGAAGGCAGTCATTTAGCTACACAAGACAAGGATACTATGACATTGGTGATGTACTTCTGTACTCCAATTTTAATCAAGTTAAAGTTTAGAATTAAAGTCCCAGCCAAGGATCAAGATTGTGAATTAAAGCCTCTGCTAAGGATTAAGACGGATAATGTGATCAAAACCACTTCTTATATACAGATTTTGATATGACTTTTAGATTACATTTCTAAAAAAATATATTTTACAAAAAGCCTCCTTCCTGTAACATTTCTGGTTTTCATGGTTGCAAGTATGAAGACAGCCATCTCTGGGTTGTTGTTGCACCATGTAGCCAGGTAGACTAGAAGACTACTCAATGCAACAACCCAGAAGACAGTCATCTCCAGCCTTCTTATTTTCCTCTTCTTATAGGACTAATGCTAACAATGTTATAGGTAATTAATTTTGCAGCTAGGTTAAGGGCTGGAGGAATCAAGATATTACTCAAGAAACTGGTGCATGATTTCCCAATTGCATTAATATGCATAACAGTAAATAGGTAAATATTGGGACTAGGTGGCCTGTTATGGGTTTTATGAAACAAACTTTCCATCCTTTTGGAAGCCTTTCTAAGCACTGGATACAATTAAAAGAGATAAGTTATTACCAACTATAAATATAAATAGGGGAAAAGAAAGATGATACGCATGATATTTACAGATGACAAACATACTAACAGTAGGATCTGGGGTTCTCACAGCAGTGATTATAAAGATAGCTGTCTTCTGGGTTGTAGTGCAATGTAGTGTGGTAGAGTTCCTTGATGATTGCCCTGATGATGGAGGGAGCAAGGACATCTGAACCGGTGGTAAACTTCTACCAGACTACACAGCATTAAAACGCAGAACACAGTCATCTTCATATTACCAATAACTAAATGTACACCTACCAGTATGAAGTAGCGTGGTTGTACTCCTTTCCTTGACAGCTTGAAAAGTTCTCCATCCTTCAAGAACACACGCCCTGGTTTGATTATCTCATAATTACCCAACTGTGACTGCAGTTGAAGAAGTTTACTAAGGTGATCCTTGAGAATAAAATCAAGCCCATTACCATGTGTTAACCACTATCATAAAGCCACAGTAAATGGCATACATTATTAATATGAAAGAATGAGAAAGTGTTTTTGTTTATAAACACTATGTGCACTCAATATATCAATGTCATCTAAGCCTGTCCAACTAACTTAAATATAAAACAGACTAGTTCTACATCCTATACCTGCTGGATTCTAAACAGAATATCCTATTGGTGTACTTCTTTGTCATTCAAAATACTCCTGAAATGCAGTGGTACCACTTTAGAATACTAAATGGTAAATCCAGTTCAGAGAAACAGCAATATAGTTAGAACCTTTACAGTTATATGGCACTAGGACTGTTTTCTTTGCCACCTCCACCACTGCAGTTTACCTAGCTCTTTCATTTCAAAACTTTTTCTTCATTGATAACCTATACTTTTCATTAGCACTGTCTGAATTGTGAGATACATCTGCTTCTACCTGGGAAGTGACTCTCCTTTATATTAACTGCATCAGTGTAACTCATCTGACATTATCTAAAGCATTATCCAATGAGTACAGGAAGTGGTAATGGCCTATTCAAAGATACTGATATCCCAGCCATGTAAATCTCAGTTCAGACTTTCAGTTTTCAGCTGAGATTTGAAATGAGCACCTCCAGAATACAGAATGTTACTCCTGAGCTAACTGGATGGCTGAAAAGCTTGGAAGACTGGATTAGATGTGTGGTTGGGGTACCTATTATTATTACAATCATCATATTAACGTTAAAGTTTAGAATTAAAGTCCCAGCCAAGGATCAAGATTGTGAATTAAAGCCTCTGCTAAGGATTAAGACGGATAATGTGATCAAAACCACTTCTTATATACAGATTTTGATATGACTTTTAGATTACATTTCTAAAAAAATATATTTTACAAAAAGCCTCCTTCCTGTAACATTTCTGGTTTTCATGGTTGCAAGTATGAAGACAGCCATCTCTGGGTTGTTGTTGCACCATGTAGCCAGGTAGACTAGAAGACTACTCAATGCAACAACCCAGAAGACAGTCATCTCCAGCCTTCTTATTTTCCTCTTCTTATAGGACTAATGCTAACAATGTTATAGGTAATTAATTTTGCAGCTAGGTTAAGGGCTGGAGGAATCAAGATATTACTCAAGAAACTGGTGCATGATTTCCCAATTGCATTAATATGCATAACAGTAAATAGGTAAATATTGGGACTAGGTGGCCTGTTATGGGTTTTATGAAACAAACTTTCCATCCTTTTGGAAGCCTTTCTAAGCACTGGATACAATTAAAAGAGATAAGTTATTACCAACTATAAATATAAATAGGGGAAAAGAAAGATGATACGCATGATATTTACAGATGACAAACATACTAACAGTAGGATCTGGGGTTCTCACAGCAGTGATTATAAAGATAGCTGTCTTCTGGGTTGTAGTGCAATGTAGTGTGGTAGAGTTCCTTGATGATTGCCCTGATGATGGAGGGAGCAAGGACATCTGAACCGGTGGTAAACTTCTACCAGACTACACAGCATTAAAACGCAGAACACAGTCATCTTCATATTACCAATAACTAAATGTACACCTACCAGTATGAAGTAGCGTGGTTGTACTCCTTTCCTTGACAGCTTGAAAAGTTCTCCATCCTTCAAGAACACACGCCCTGGTTTGATTATCTCATAATTACCCAACTGTGACTGCAGTTGAAGAAGTTTACTAAGGTGATCCTTGAGAATAAAATCAAGCCCATTACCATGTGTTAACCACTATCATAAAGCCACAGTAAATGGCATACATTATTAATATGAAAGAATGAGAAAGTGTTTTTGTTTATAAACGCTATGTGCACTCAATATATCAATGTCATCTAAGCCTGTCCAACTAACTTAAATATAAAACAGACTAGTTCTACATCCTATACCTGCTGGATTCTAAACAGAATATCCTATTGGTGTACTTCTTTGTCATTCAAAATACTCCTGAAATGCAGTGGTACCACTTTAGAATACTAAATGGTAAATCCAGTTCAGAGAAACAGCAATATAGTTAGAACCTTTACAGTTATATGGCACTAGGACTGTTTTCTTTGCCACCTCCACCACTGCAGTTTACCTAGCTCTTTCATTTCAAAACTTTTTCTTCATTGATAACCTATACTTTTCATTAGCACTGTCTGAATTGTGAGATACATCTGCTTCTACCTGGGAAGTGACTCTCCTTTATATTAACTGCATCAGTGTAACTCATCTGACATTATCTAAAGCATTATCCAATGAGTACAGGAAGTGGTAATGGCCTATTCAAAGATACTGATATCCCAGCCATGTAAATCTCAGTTCAGACTTTCAGTTTTCAGCTGAGATTTGAAATGAGCACCTCCAGAATACAGAATGTTACTCCTGAGCTAACTGGATGGCTGAAAAGCTTGGAAGACTGGATTAGATGTGTGGTTGGGGTACCTATTATTATTACAATCATCATATTAACTGATTGGGGCAGTCAAGGCCTGTAATAGTCTTTAGAACCTGTGATGATAATGATGATATTAACTGACAGAAGATATTTAACACCCCATCTCAGCACTAAATTATTTACTAACTGCAAAGACCATACCTACAAGAAGCTAAACTGCATCATGCATTGGTCAGCATGAAGATCTAAATAATTAGATGATAGGAACAAAATCTTGTAACCATTAAAAATGTGTAGTGAACAGATACACAGAAACATAAAATATGATAGTACTGTACAAAATGATTAATTAAAAAGTAAGAAAAGGCCATAAAATTGCAGGTTTAGTACCAATCCAGGGTGACATTCATAACAACATAAATTTCTTTTTGTTTAAATTATTTAACAATACTTGTTAACTTCACAGGTTACAAAGTGAATGGAAGAATAACTGAATGATAAATCAGGAAGGATGTAGAAGGAAGTGGCAAAGAAAACCAAAAAAATATCCAAGATTCAAACCTGGTACTTCCAAAATACGAAGTAGAGTGCTATCTTATACACTGCAATGTTTGGTATATGCATTTAAAGTTAGTAAAATCAAAAATAAAGCTGTTCCACTTTCCACCATGTAGGCACTTGGGGGGAGAGGGTATAGCTCCTACTCATTCTTGATCTTGGCACTAGATAGGGGTGAGTGGTCATCATCACGACCTAGCTGCATTTTATCCCCAAGAAAGGACCCTGGTACCCATTGGATAGGAGGCTGGGTGGGCCACAGAACCAGTCTCAACACACAGGGTAGAGGAAAAATCCTCTGCCCCCCATTGGGGATCAAACCCGTCATCCAGTGTGTAGTTAGTCGTTACACTGACTGAGCTATGCCGGCTCCTTATTTAAGGTTAGATAACACATAAAATGAATTACATAAATTCCATTACCTTGTAACTCTGATTATAAATGAAATAACTTACCCCTTGTTTTATGCTTCTGTTTGCATGATCAGCCACATCACAAACTATTTTCAAAGCTGTCTGAGTGTCATCCAAGTCAGGAGAGGATGGAGATAAATGGCGGAGATAGTCCTCCAGCAAGAGGCGATACTGAGGAATTCGTTGCACAGGCTTCAGCATATAGTGCTTTAGAGATAGTTTCTGACAACGAGGTGATGCCTCAAACTCTTTCACGACTTTTGCAAATTTTGGATACTTCTGACAACATTCTTCCAGGTAAATACATTGTGATTCAAAGTTCTGAATGTATGATGTATAAAGTTTCAAGAAAGGTCCCTTCCTAACAATCACATCTGCTATCTTTTTAATACAGTCCCAGTTATCTATTCTGTGTTTCAAATCACGAAGCAGATCTTCATTGAAACTCTGAAGTTGGGGCAAACTATTGAGAATCTTATCTAATTCTGCACCAGGGATAACAGGATACTTTTGTTCAGCTCCAACTGCATGTACTGCTTGCCTGAAATCCACATTTAAAAGCTTCAACACATCAATGAAGACTCTCTCTGAAGTCATCAGTTCCTCAGCAATATAAAATGCTTTCTTCTCGTGATGTGTTTCTACTGACTGAGTCTGATTTGCATCTCTATCCTCTAGATTTATTTCTGCTTCATTTTCTGACTCTGAATGTTGGTATATTTCAAAACTATCTTCTGACACAGGTGCATCACTTCTTTGATCGATATCTAATGCACTCAAAGTGCTCAACCCACTTGGAGGTCTGCTGCCATCAGGAACAGTAGAGTTAAATCCATTAATTTCAATCTCTTGTACCTCTGCTGCTGGGATTTCAGTCACTTTTAAGACTGGAATCTGTTCTCTTTCTTGATCCTCTTCTCTTAGTTTTTGATCACAGTTTTCTCGATTATCACAGTAAAACTGACTGTTTGAATCCTTTTTTGTTTTTTTCTTCTGATTTCCCTTTCCAAGAGAACCCAACAATGTAGATAATTTACTCCGCACAGGATTGGGTCCATCTTCAAAATCGCTACCTGTCCAATCAACTTCCTCATATGAACTCTGCCTTGCTGTAGTATCTGAACTGTCTAAGTCTCCCAGTACTCCACTAGAAAGATCTCCTTCATCACACCACCAAGAACATGACTTTGACTTGTGCTTATGTGTACTGGGGATGCAATGTGTAGTTTTCTCAGGTGAAGGTGAGTCATCTTTGCAATTACTCCATGACTGCCTCCGTCGGAGAAACTTACCTGACTCTTTCATTTCCAGTTTTCTCCTCACTGGTAATGAAGATGCTGATAACCTATAGTCACTATTAGCACTGTCTACATTCTGGGACACATCTGCTTCTACCTGGGAAGTAACTTCTATTTCCTTCACAATGACTAGATCAGTGCAACTCACCTCAACATTATTGACACTACTATGCAAAGATATGTCAATATTATTCTTCACACTTTCTGCAGATTCACTGTCTATGACAACTGCTGTTACACTTTCAGAAAAATCTGCAATTCCTGGATGTATTATGGGAGAACTGTTTCCTTCAATGGCAAGATGCTCAGCACCATCAACAATGCTGACATTATGGGAAATCTTAGATGACTGCTCTTCTACCTTTCCTGGTATTGACTCTTTTTGAGGCTCTACTGAAAAGCATTCCAGACTCGAACCACTCTGCTTTTCTTCTGCATGTGCAAGCAACAGACTTGATGTTAAAGATTCCTCAGCATGAGACATAACTTCCATTACCACAACTGGTGAAATTCTGCCATTTGTGCCTGAAGTCCTATTATCTACTAAAAATGAACTAATGCTATCATTATTATCTTCTGTGGCACAATCCAAGTCAGTACTATTTAAAATGTTATCTTGTGAGATTACACAACCATTGTTTAGGTCCACTAAATTCAGTGTTTCAAACTTAACAACCTCATCAACATCTTCTCTACAGACACTTACTTCATTCACAACTTCAATCTTCTTTGATTCTTTCATGTTTTCAGTGTTGTCACAAACCACAATTTCTTGAAAACATTCTCCTCCTTCTGTATGTTCGTCCAACACCAATCCTTCTACTTTACTGACTAAAGTGTCATTCTTTGGTCCAGGTAGGACTAACTTTCCTTGAATCACAGCCATCTGTTCTTGTACCCCTTCCTCATTACCATCTATGTCATACTCAGAACATTCTTTTGGTTCTTCAGCTGCCTGTCTGCGGTTTTTCTTCAAACTGTAATTTACTTCTGCATAGACAGGAATACTATGAGAATGTCCGCATTGTTTCTTCTTCTGACGTGGAGGTGGAATAGGTGCATTCTTGGCTCTTAAACTAGGTAACTCCTCTTCGTTTGCTACATAAGACACAAAGTCTGTAATCTTGCCCCTTTCCAAACTAGCACACTTAGTTTGACCTTCAATAAATCTAAAAGCATCACTTCTACCCAGGCTTGCACTCTTCCTTTTCATGTTTTGCCAATGCAATTGCAATGCTTCAAAATCAGCTCCAGATGCTAGCACAGGACTTGCTGCATTACAATTCCATTGTTTCTTCTTCAGTGGTAATTCAGGTTTATGTTCAAAAACTGTGAAAGGTTCTCCTTTAAAGGGCTGGTGCTTGGGTGATCGTGGAGGTCTGACAGGGCTCTCACTTTTTACAGAATCACAGAAATTTTCAAATTCTTCTAATTTTGCAACTGGAGCCTTAATGTGAACAGGCAGTCTTTTGATAGCAGACTCTCCATCATAATTTCCAACTGTGGATGTGAGAAATGTTATCTCATTCTCAGAGCCAACAGTCAATTCCTTGCCATTTCTTGCTGTTGGCAGGACTAGGCTGAGACGTTTGGAAATGAACGGTCTCGTATTTGCAGGGCCAAGCCTTAGAAAACTGTTAAGAAGTTTTGGCGATGTCTGAGGTTTTGGTAAAAGTGGAGGTTTGGGTGAATGTTTGTCACTGTTACACTTTATCACATCAGCACCATAAGTCTTTTCTCTAACTGCTGCATCACTTGTGTTATCAGTCTTTGTTTTGAGCTTTGAAATTTTCTTCTCAACAACAGTTTCTTTACAGGCATTCACAATTTCATCATAAATATGATTATTCTTGGCCTTTCCTTCCCTCTGCAAATTGCTGACATATCTGGAAAATGTAGAAAATTATTATCTGTATCAACTGACCTGAAAACTTTTGCAGATACAACACCTGAAAATTATTTTACATATTTTAGTATAGTATTACTAAAATAACGGTTTTTATGAATTTCCAACACATTAAGAGACAAGCTAATTTGTATGTGTTTGTAAACAATATTTTTATAATACTGCACTAAACTATGGAATTTGATTTTCCAATATATGTAAGATTCTAAAATGCAGTATTATTTAATATTATACACAATAACTTCAAAACCAACAGTCCAGATGCACATACACTTTTTATAGTCCAGCAATTATCAAATTATAAATATTTTCAGTTGCTCAGTATGAGGACTGGTAACAAGTCCTTGTGAACATAGTACTGAGCATTTGGGTTCAATAAAAGTTGAGAAATTTATTACCTCAACGACTATTAGCTTCATAAGGAAGACCCTACTCCACTAAATTAGTCAAATATTTCATTTACATCACACAAGAATGGGATTTTCCTAACTTACACTGAGATTACATCCAAGCATGAGATTTCTGTTGTTTATAAATTAACAGAACATCACACACTCTCATGAAGTCAGTTCAAATAATTTAATAATTACCTGTTCTACTGACATCAGCATATGAGTCAGTAAGGTCATGTGCAGTGAAACATGTACCACATATCTGATAATATTGTGTACGAACATCAGACAAGTGAGCATAGCATGCATTGTACTGAATGATGGTTTTCCACATAACAAAACCTTCCCCTTCCTTAATTTAAGTTGGCCTATATGATGCATCTTGCAAAAATAACAGCTACTTGTTCTATGACCTTTGTACACTGACATCTCGATGATAAGAGCTGACAATAATACCAGAGATACCACGTAATCTTTTATCCCTCCCTCTGATAACAATCAGGTAGTCAGACAACTTGATGTGGTACTGAACCTACGTAATAAATACAAAGTAACAGTATTAGACTGGAGGAACTCATGGTAGTGAAGATGTCAATTGTGTCTTCTGGTTTGTAATGCTGTGTAGTCTTCATCACACTAATTTATCTATGATAAAATAAAATATAGTGCTGACATTATGCTGGTATGTAATACTTACACTTATACCACTCCTCTAGGCAAGGCAAGTCCTGAAGGGGGTAACAAGAATCCCACAAAGCAACAATGTCAATATAACAATGAAAACTGTATATACTGTAAATAAACTACTTGGTGCTCTAACTAGAGATGTAAACAGTAAATTGATTACAATACAATGTCCAACATGATGAATAGTACTGGTGACAAACCATATTTGAATCAATGTACTTTCTTGTGTTTCTGCTAAATGGCAATTACATCATGGAGAAGGGTTACTGTAGGGAGGATCAAATTAGATCCCCATTTGAAAGATGCAAATTTATGTATCACAAAAAAAACGAGTAACAACTGAATTTTTAAATCTACTATTATTTTGTTTAGTTTTTGAAGTTACATAGCTATCAAAGTTTTCATAATGTAAATAAAGTACCTATACTGGACTATACAGTCTGCTAACATTTCTTTTCCCAGAGGCTAGAACTCTTTTCCTTGGATAGATAGAAAATTATGTTTTTAAGAAAAAAATAGATCCAAATTCACCAGAATTATTTTATCTAGCCTCACATTTATATCCTAAATTTAAGGTTTCCTATCATTCTAAAAATGTTCACATTCACACCTCAAGTTACAAACCAATCCATCCAGCAGAACTGCCAAGACAGCTTGATAAATTGTACTCCAAACATTGTTCTCAACTGACCAATTCTAAAAGATGTTTTACCTACTGAATGATATCTAAAGCACATCTAGTCACTTCAAGTTTTGATTATGATGTTTGTATAAACTTCTTAGATGTCTTAACATTTTATCTTATTATATCATAAGCATGGTAGTCTAACAATTTATTTTGTTATATTATTAGACTTGTCAGGGGGGATGCATGGATTAAACTGACCTTCCCAAATAAATCCTGAATGACAGTACTTAACACCTCGTCATACATGTTCATGTTATAAAATAAAGATAAGACACAGACTGCATTATTTAAATGTAGATCTGGTTTATTAAATCACACTATTAATATGAATATTCATTATAAATCTAGTAAGTTAAATGCACAATAAATGGACCAACTCATTAAAATGGCAAATTCTCACATGATCACCTGCAGTAACTAATGTGTTACATATAAGACAAGGAGTTCTGGCCAGAACTCATACTCCTTACTTTCCTATGGCACAGACTTGCGTTCTTAATGTCACATTTAGGTAATGCAAGTTTATAATCCAACAATAAATTAAATGTTAGCTCAAGGGCTGGGCTGACGTGTGAATGGCAACAAAATCAAATATAACTCAAATCAGAAATTGGTATCACTTCCAGTTGTAAATATGTTACACAGCACTGTTGCTGATGTTTTATTTTTCTTTACAGAATGATCTTATTATTTAGGGACATATAATATCTACATTAAATTAGTTGAATATAACACAAGCTTTCACATGATCAACATGTCTGTAACTGTAGACTTATGAATAATATTTCATACGCAAATTGTAAGAATGCTTACAATCTATCGTCATACAACATTTAATTCTCTTAGTTCCGCTGGTTCGCTAATTGTTGCTATCAAACCTACATCTACATCAAAATGTTCATATTGCCACATATTCTTATTTCACTTGCTTACAAAGAACACAAAAAAGTAAAAATTGGTCAATCAGTTAACAAGTAGAAATCACAGACAATAGGGTCATTCACAGGCCTACTTTATTTTCTTTTGGAAAGGAAAGTAGGTAAATAAGCCAAGCCTCTTGTAATTTCTTAACTGAGCTCAAGGAAGAGTTGAGAAATCAGCTTCCTGTCTGAGGGTGAAATGATCCAAGTTATTCTGGACATGTATAAAAAATGCTAAGACTGTGGTTGAGCGGACAACACTCACACTTCATATCTGAAAGTTTCAGTTTCTAATCTTGGCCCTGCAACTGATTATTTTGAAACAGGCTCTTATTGGTTTTCTAAATTCCTCCAGACAAACACTAGGATATAGATGGCTGTCTTCTACAGCTGTTGTGCCATCTAGTCTGGTGGAAGTTCACTGATCGGCGCAACAACCCAGAAACCAGCCATCTCCATACTCTCCATCATCAGAACTTGAAATCTCAAAATTCTGGGACAGTACGTTAAAAGAGATCATGACCACTTCCATCCACACCCCATCTAGCTCATTATTTCATAATCAACGAAAATTCAATATTATGTAACCTATGTACAGTGTAAGACTGTAATCTTGAGACTTGCAGGGTGAGGAAGTGGGGTGAAGGAGGAAGGAGGAAATATAGCGTCAACCTTTAACGCTTCGGACTTCATACAGTCCTTGCAAGTCTCAAGATTACAGTCACGTACTATAGTTTAAAAAGTAAAGTAAAGTTTGTCTGGCTACATGCAATACAGGCACTTGGGTTGAGTGGAGGTATAGCTCCTCTCTTTTTTGACCTCGGCACTAGATGGGGGTGAGTGGTTGGCATCACGCCCCGGGCAGCTTTACCCCCGGGAAAGGACCCTGGTACCCACTGTAGAGGAGGCTGGGTGGGCCCCAGAGCCGGTCTGGACGCAGAGGCTAGAGGAAAAATCCTCTGCCCCCGTCGGGGATCGAACCCTGGTCGTCCAGCCCGTAGCTAGTCCCTATACTGACTGAGCTATCCCGGCTCATAGTTTAAAAAGTATCCTTATATAAAGAATGATTAAATCAATCTCTGTCACCCCCTTCTCCTAACCCCAGATGTCTGAAAGTGAGTTTGAAAAAAAAAATGTACACAAATAAGCATGACCTAGGCAGGATTCAACTCTAGCTTTGCACTAAGTCTAAGGCCATGTGCTCCTTAAATCATGCAACCAATGGAGTCAGTTCTGAATATCATATTCCATATATACGTGAATAGATGCATCTTGAGTTTCTAAATATGTTAGAAGACCAGAAAATAACCTGAAAAGGATTCAGTGCTTGTAAGTAACCAAATGAATGAACAAACACAATACCCACTGTTCCTACCGTTTCAAGTCTGCTATATTAATTAGTACTTACGTATTCAAGTAAGTTATAAAAATGCAACTAACCTTTCTTTGGAAGGATCACCATGGCCTTCTTCTAAATTTGGGCCTGCCAAATGGTGTAATGAAGGTTTTGGAGGTGTAGGTGGCTTCCTTTTTCCTAAAACATTGTATAAAAATATGATTCTGGCAACAACAACAACAACTGCTGTTATTCACAAATAAAACATACTATACAAATGTTTTCAGGTTACCTGGAATAGCTGCCATTACTGCCATAAGCCATGGGCAACCACTTTAACTGGTATCTGCAAACAAGAACACATTAATTACAGCAATCTACTACAATGCAAAATTTCTTCTTCCAGTTGTCTCAGTTCATGTCTCTCCCATCTCTAAGTGTATTTTCTTTGCCTTACATTTTAATAAGCATAAATGGACAATTAAAGTGAAATTACATACTTGAATGTATGGAGACAATAAAGATGTTCCATGTTAGCTAAATGGTTTCAGTTCAATTCAGATGTTTTGCGAAATGTGTTGATGTTAACAAAAATTATTCAAGAAGAATTGCCATTTTCCACCTGCCATGAATTTCCATCCTGACAATGTAAAATTTAAAGCATGTGAAATTTAGTACTATATCCAAAGATTCTTTATAATATATCTGACAGCTCTATAATTGGTAGAACTGTGTAATCTCCCACCTTTTAGATTGTTTTATTACATATTATGTGATGATTTTAATATATTACATTTTTAATTTATAGGGGAGAAAAATCGTAATAAAAATTAAAGGTATGTTTGTTTTATTAATCATGGCATAAAAAACTCGTTAAAACTTTCTGTGGGAACATTCATAAAGTTTTCATAATAAATAAATAATTTCATTAATTCAGTACAATCTGTCGTAAGTACATGTGATATTCTAAAACGGTTTTAACAGCACAATATTATCTATTCTACGACGCACTTCTACACGCGATTCACACCTCAGCTCTTTCCGCAATAACGAAAGCGGATTGTTGACGGCAGTAATGAAACACAACAATGCCGAATAAACATGACATTGTAGAGGGGGCTGGGTGGGCCCCAGAGCCGGTCTGGACGCAGAGGCTAGAGGAAAAATCCTCTACCCCCGTCAGGGATCGAACCCCGACCGTCTAGCCCGTAGCTAGTCACTATACTGACTGAGCTATCCCGGCCATATAAAAGCTGGCCACTGTCGGTCCATATTTACACTTTGTTGGTATGTATCTTACACATTTTCCTAATGCAGTTTTGCCGAAGGACCCTTCCGTATAGACGTATTTACGTCAAAATAACCCGGTAAAATACGGTAGGCTACGTACGTTCGTCACTTAAAAAGGTAATAGGAAGGCACAATACTGATGCCAACAAAGCGAGATAATTTTTTCAAAACCCCTCCCTTTACAGATTTCTAGATTTAAAGTGTTGCACAAGGCCGCCAATGCTTTACCTTGCGCAGTTCACATCACGATCCGAAAATAAGTGAAACTGTTGTGTGTGTTGCAAAAGCGTGGGACGTCGAAGTATGAATAAACGTACGCCGGCGACTTGAGAAAAAAATCAGCAAACCTGAAACAATGCCTCATTAAATACGAGTCGCCGATAAATACGGGGTACATGAGTGCAATAGCACATAATAAAGTTGTTTAAAGGAAGGTTTACTGTACCTCTGGAATTTCTCAGTCCACTTTCACAACGATACAACTACCCTGCGTGCAGGTGTGCGGACATGAGAGAGAGAGAGAGAGAGAGAGAGAGCAATGTAATGTATCAAGTTTTACGGTATTCATTACGAACCAGAACTTATTTCCACGAAATATGGTTCAATCTTTACAAATTTTAAATTTAAAAGTCGGCAAAATGTCGATATTAACGAAACTGAATTTAGGATTTGACAACCATTATCTTTAAAAATACACATGTAGTACAAATATGACATAAAATGTACGTTCTTTCTAATTTATTACTCACAGCCGTCCCATCATTTAGCACTAATGACTTGTAACTAAAAGTGGCGTTAAATAAGCAAATATATAAATAATACAAGGACTACACTGTTGTCTGATTGGGGAAAAGGTTGCATTTGGACGACAAATTTTAGTAATTCAATGATTAAGCAGGGATATAATCAAAATTCGTCCATCCGTAGCAGCATCAATACATGCTTACAGAACAGCAGACGTACGGGGGGACGGAATCGAGAAAAATGAGCGCTCACACCTTGTTCATAAACCAGGGGTCCGCAGGTTATGCCTACGGGGTCTGTGAGTTGAGTAGATTTTGCTCTGTTCTTGATGCTTTATTGCTCCAAGTATTAAGGTTTTTTTCATTACAATTTTTACTTCCACGCTTAAGTAAAATATGGCGTACGTAACTACACCTTTTATATATATTTGTCGTACTGAATAATATTTCGAGATAAGTGGGAATCGCAGAAAAAGAAATCAAACAGCACAATGAAAGATTAATCACGCCAAAACAGTGGAAAATATTTCACTTATTACTGGCTTCGACTAAGGCAATTACTGACATGCGTGGACCAACTTGCAATAGTAACTTCGTAAAAAAATTTATAAACTGTCCTCTTTTATAACCCTGCTGCCCAGGAGTCGATAAGAACGGGCTAATGTGGCGCCAGGTTGAAACAATTGCGGCCAGCTTTACAACGTGACCCTCCGGAATACGAAGGAATACATGTGTTATGTTCTGTTTTCAAGATGTGTAATGCAAAATAATACTCCCCTAGCAACAAAATATCTATATGAAACTGATTTCCATGGTATATCATGCTGGAACATTTTCTTAAAACATTTCAGATATTCTATTTATCCCTTCATCTTATTCATCTTTCTTCTTAGTATACTTTACCTAACCCATTCTTGTGTTCATACCTGCAGGTTAAAATTCTGTTTTGGCATTCTGTCAATAACTACGAAAGACAAAAATGTTCTGGGAACAAAAATGTTTCTTACATGTCACTTACAAGGTCTTTGTGTTACTGACTTCCTGCTTTCATCAAGATGAATTGCAAACCTTCTTTCCTGTTCTTATTGTTTTTATAACCATGATTTTTGCCAGTTACGAAACATATTCTGGAGAGATGAGCCTCTCTTCAGTATAGACTGGACTCACATGACATGGGTCACAGTAGTTCAGCCTTCACCTTGAGAGACTCTCAGGACAAAGCAGAATTTCAATGCCATGAGACCAAACTTCATTATGTAACATTTTGCAACTTACTGATACCAAAATGCAACAGCAGATGAGAATTTTTTGGTGTTTCTATTTATTTAATAACACTCTGTTAAATGCTTGCATTATGCAATATCAAATAAGAAAATGCAAGATAGTTATGAACAGTGATTTTGGAAGAATGTGTATGCAGTGTCTGTGATTGTACTATCATGACATTATCTCTGGATATGGAAAAAGATAACCTACAAAAGATCTCAACAAAACAGGCAACCTCCCGGCCATGACTGAAACTGAGTAGTACACAGCAATGATCATTCAAATTTAATACTTCTATAATGATAAAATCAAAGCAGCTGGGATGATTAATATGTTTATTTTATGAAGATGTATTAACAGTAGAGATTTTTTAGCATAAAATGAGAAACAGTATGATGAAAGCTGAGTCAGAAAGGAATGTGGCATGGTGTGGTTGCAGCCAATTTTGAGAAACTAAAGTGACAGGCATAGCATAAATGACAGTGATCATGTTTTGGATGCTTCTGTCCAATTATATGCTCATGCCGTCATGAATCCATTGGCTTAGAGAGTTGATTTATACATAATTCACTTACTTCAAGTGTGAATCAGTTTAAATTTGTATATACATCTCTCTCTCTCTCTTCCTGCACCACAAACCTCTGTTTGCACAGGTCACTTTATCCCAACATATACTTTGAATAATAAACAAACAAAAAAACATCAAGTCCTAGTCAAGATAGGTGAAATCCAGCTGGAATAGCAACCAAACAACTCCTGAATATTAATAACATGTTTTATTGCTGAAGTAACTAAGTGAGGGGCTGAGATAACTTGCTTATGTAGAATTCAGGTTCTCATGAAGATACCTGTCTCCTGCAATGTTGCACCATGTATTCTGGCAAATAGTGACCAACATTTACAAGGTGCTTACTGCCTCCATCATTAGGATGATTGTCCTAGCAGGACAGTTCATTCAGAAAAAAAACTTAACAAAACCTGACAATAAATGTCATTAAAGATAAACTGTATATAAGCTGATTGGCAAAAAAAATCACACCACATATTAACAGCATATGTTGGAAATAATTTTCCACTGTTTGTGAAGATTTGTATCAGACAGTAAATGAAATTTATGAGTTACTCCATTGTGAGTGTTGCCCTCGGAGGACTAGTGGTTAGCGTGCTTGCCACTGGACCCAAGGTTTGCGCTTTCAATCCCAGCCGAAGTCAGTGGATTTTTAAGGGTGATAAAAATCAGTAGCACAACTTCCTTCGGAGGGGAAGTAAAGCTGGTGGTCCTATATCGTAGATTTACGGCATGTAAAAGAATCTTACAAGAATGATAAGAGATGTTTCATAATCAAAATTCAGTGGCCATTTCTAACCCAAGTCTCCTGATTAACTGCTAGATGGCTCTAGCAGCCAAATCAGAATTGAGAAGAAACTATGCAATCAGTGGGCTGGTCACTTACTACTCATAAATGCACACTTCAACCAAGAAAACGCTCAACAGGGTCATAGAGCCAAGAAACAACAACAACAACAACAACTCCATTGTGAGTAAACTGGTGAATAAAATTCTAGACCAGTTTTTTTCTTGACCCATAGAAAAATTGATGCTTTATTCTTTGGGTATTTATATTAAACCCCAACAAAGCATCATCAGCATCAACAACTACCTGATTCAGGCCACTCATTTCCAGTCCTTCATGACTTTCTTGAACTTTCCTGATAAGATATTCTACAGCATAATTAAATACAAGCTGTTGATGCCAACCACTTCTTCAGCACACATTACCAAAACATGTACCATTATGGAGGATTAGTACAATGAACACTGAGCATTAAGCAGAACAGCACTAATAAAGATTAATCTTTTCTTGAATAACACTACTGACATTCATTAAAATTACTACTTCAGAAATGATTTTCTGCAAATAAGCAACAAAACATACCAACAAAAAGCACAACAGAAACACCACATTTTAACTGATAACCTTTTGATTCTATATTGTCTGACAGTTTATTCTTAAATTATATTTTTATGACAACAATTGCATCTAATAATATAGACTTGAACAAGGCACCCATTAATGGAATCATAAAAAGGATACCTAATAAATATAAATTTTACTAGTTATAATTTCATATTAATATGGTGAATGGTCTGAAGATTATGCTTTCATGTCAAAACATGCAAATGAATTGATTGTATACATCTATTATATGTTGTGTGGTCAGATCAATAACATTTATAATTAACAGCATGCTAGTACTCAAAATGCACCATGTCTTAAATGTGAAATATACTTCAGATAATGGTCAATATTCACCATAATATTAGCAGGAAAAATGAATGAAACCAGTCCTTTAGAGAATCTGTAGACACATATCCAAACTTGAAGAGAAATAGTGAAAATACAGAATACAGATTTCTCCCATGCCACATTGCAGGATAGTTTTTCAATCCCAGTGCTCCTCCTAGGTTTCACTTTGCTAGGTTTTGTCAGGCCACATATTCTACACTTACAGAGAATATGCTGAGCCACCACATGTGAAAAGAATAGAACAAAAAGACACATCATAGAAGTAAGAATCTCTAAACTAAAGCATACTACAGCACCTCAATGCAACAATCCAATCTTCCTTCACTCTCACAACCTTCTTTACAGTCTGTATATGATAAAGTAAAGGACTACATTCACAAGGACCAGAAGCCAAAGATGCATACAAACTGTGCCAAACCCAAAAGTTTTATGAAGATACTGAAAATGTATAATTATTAGTGGGGCTATCAAAACCTGACTGCATGAAAATTGAGGTTAGGTTATCATACAAAATTCAAAATCTGCAGTGAAGAATTTAGCAAAGATCCTAAATTGTTGACAAGTCTCAAAATATCTGGTGTCAACAGCAGATGTACATTTGTGTATACAGTAGTTTGCCAAATTTTGTGCTGAAAAATTTTGATACCTGTCACATCTTATAAAAAACAAGGCCATTTTCTCCGTGGAATGGTATGGTTGAAAAGCTTTCTTAATAACAAAATGTTCTCTATGGAGTGATATGGCAGAATGAATAACTTTTTCATTTACAGTTTGTCATTTCGGTGTGTGATGTACAAGAACAACAACAGGCAGTTATCACTTGTGCCCCAGTATATAAAATTAGATGTTAACATCCCCATCACTGTCAACCAAAGTTAAACATGCATTGAACATGTTAACATTTCATTTAAGAACATGTCAAAAGCACATACGACTCATGCTCATTCCTTCTCGAATACACCTTATCTGATTGAAAATGTCATCAAGTTACCCACATACATCATACGTTTACCTTATAACACATATTTGTCCCAAATAAGAGCCATCTTTCCAACACCATTTACAAATCTATAAGAACGACGTACGCACATTACAACATAAGTGTAGGCATACCAACTGATTCCATTAGATCACTGATAGGGATAATACATTGTGTAATGATTTCCATCCTTAACCAGCCGCGAATCATTACTCTCACCCAACGACCCACCATACGCACTGCGTTGCAGACGACACAGTGGCCTTCAGCACGTTTGCCATCTACTTACAACTCAAATAACCATTCACTCTACGGAACAGTTCAGTCGGTATTGCAGCTTGAGTTCGTGCAATTATGAAATAAATCAGCAGAGTACGGAAGAGGAATTGCAGATACAATGTTGGCCCGGAGGATTGCAATACAGAGGGTAAAGTGATAGGTTTAAAAAAATGATTCCGAGGATTAGCTGTCACTGGCTTAGGGTAGTGTCAAATTACAGGTATAATTTTATTCTATTAATAAATGTATTTACATTCTTTTCGGGACTAAACAATGTAGGGAGGAAATTAATCTAAAATTTTTAAAAAAGAACAGGAAAATAAAGTAAAAAGTACTAACTTCCTAGGGGTTGTGACTGATTGCACGCTTAGTTGGGAAGTACATTTTGAAAAAATGTGTAGTAGAATAAGCCATAACCAATTTATAATAAATAGACTCTCTAAAATACTTAATCTAAATGAAAGAAGAATGTTGTATAATGGTTTGATTTGTCCCTTTTTGTCTTACGAAATCGTCGTATGGGGACAGTGTGCCAAAGTACTCACTCGACGAAGATTTACTCTTCAATAAAGGGTAGTAAGGTACACAGCAGGATTAAAACCAATGGAATCGTGAAGAGACAGTTTTTGGCATTTACAGATATTAACAGTATACTCGTTATACATTCAAGAAACCATTTTATATGCATAAGTGTCTGAACTGTAAACAAACAAGAATATACATATAACACAAAAAATAATAAGACTATCATAAATATGTACACAAGTTAGAATTTTATGAGAGTAAACCGTAAGTAGCAGGTTATCTTCTATAACAAACTGCCTACCATAATAAAACAAATAAAAAATGAGTTTTAAGAAGGAATTGAAGGACTTTCTTATTAAGGGGTTATTATTATTCACTAGAAGACTATCTTAATGAAGAATTTTCAAATATTGTCTACTGATAATCTAATGTATATCTCCAATGGGATTATATCTTCATCATTATTGTATTTTGATAATGTATAATTTAGATTGACATATCCTGTATCAGTGTATTTTTGATCTACAGCAAAAATAAAATATTGTATTGTACAAACAATTTATTTTAGATAAATATTCAACACTGCAAGGTATGAAAGGATTTAAGAGAATTGTGCTTGTTAGGCAAGGATTAAGTAACCATTACACTTCCATTTGGCATTAAAAGTTAAATTAATATAACATTAATTTCAGTGTTTAAGCCAGCATTGAAAGATTCTTTCTTTCTTTTTCTTTTTTGTCACTGCTTGCACACTAGAATTTATTTCAATTGAAACTTATGATGCATAGTAAATAGTTGCTACAACTATCAAGTCATATTTGTATGAAGTGTTGGTATTAATATTAAGATGTTTCCCACATCCTTGGCTTGTACTATGAAGGATCTATGGAATATAAACATTGTTCCATACTGTTTAATAGTGAAAACAATGGACTGCCATGTAGGTAGCGACTGTCTTCGGTCCGTTTGTGATCATTGCCTGTTTTATCATTGTTTCTATGAGGTACAATCATCTGTATTTATCTACATTTTATCCTAAACTTCTCTGCCTCTGAATTTTTTTTTCATTTTGCCAATGTTAAGCAAATAGGCTCTTACTCCATCGAAACAAATTCCAAGATACAACATTCAATCAGGCTATGACCGTTTTGTTCCATTCCCTTTGTAATTTATTATCAATTATATCACTTGACACTATATAGCCTGAGTAATTGACTGTTGTTAAATAAACCATAAAAAAGAACTACATAATAAAAAGTGACCTTAGAAGAGAGTTTTTTGATTAGTGAAGATGGAACAGGGCAACAAATTGTGAGATCTTAAATTCTCAAAACAGCTAAATGAAATTAACTGTCTTCAGAGATGTAGCTCCTTGTAGTCAGCGATAAACCGACTGAGATTTTAGAGGTGCTTACTGACTTGATAATCCGGATGACAAAGAAACAAATACCCTAACACCACAAATAAAAAAGCAACCACAGACTGACCTTGGCTGTTAGATGATGAAGATGTGAGAGTGAGATCATTGTTTTGATCCCTACATGTTCCCAGGTCTTCTCAAGAATGTGTGAATCTCACTGTTTAAGGTTTGGATGGGTATGTTGAATAATTATTTAGTTGAAGATTCTAGAGGCCAGTTTAACTCTCAGAACTTTTCTGGAAATGAACTGTGTTCCATCTCTTCAGTTCTACAATATCTTATGTACAGTAATGGCTACATATTCCAAACATTTAAAAACAAGTAAAATCTAGTGTTATGTTACTGAACAAAACAATCAAATAACAAAATATAATTTTTGTTCCAACTATATGTCTTAAGAGTCAAGAAATGAATGATCCTGGAACATACTCTTATGTACTGCACACATGCATGGGGTGACATTTATTCAGAATCTTAGAGCAGAAAAATATTGTGATGACGACGACGACTACTACTTAGGTTCTATGTCAAACATGATTTACTTAACAAACAATTTACGGTAGTCTACACACATGAAAATTGGACAAAACAGTTGCTAAGACTCTAACTCTTCAAGTACGCTACACAAACTCAGTTCTGTCCCCGAATACTATCTCTTGAGCTGTTCCGGCCCCCAAACTTGGCAATCTTCACAACACAGCCCTCGGCTTGCCGCACCACACTGGACTGCTAGATGGCTCGTAACCTGCTCCAGTCCACAAACTCAGTGCTCTTAATACACAGCCTTCGGCTCTCAGCACCACACTGGACTGCTCAACGGCTCCTCAGCCATTCCAGTTCACAAACTCAGCGCTCTTCACACAGCCTTTGGCTCTCAGCACCACACTGGACTGCTCGATGGCTTCTCGCTCTCACTAGCTCGCTAGTTCCCTCACTGTTCACTTTACTGTTCCACACTGGGCCATGTTGGATACACGCAGGACCACCAGCACTCGGGGAAGAGACTTTTATGTGCGGCAGCCCGTTCTTCGAACTTTCCAGGCTAAGGATCTCCCATGTTCTGTTTCCTGAACCTTCCTCTTGGCGAGGGAACTCTACATCCTGCAACACTCCGTGATATCCACACACATATCCCACATCCACTAGTCAAGGAGAGGAGTAGTGCGGCCCCACCTCTCCAGTGCGAGCCGTCTGCCCATTTGGCACCACATTAAAATATCCTATATCTGACAAGATTAGGGATGCTCTCAACTGTATCTCCAATGATGTCTCTGTAGATAACTCTGACAAAGGAAAGACGAAAGATATATTACAAACATCACAGGAATATGGACACTATGTAATATATATTACATGATCAGTGATGATGAGATCACTCTACTTAGTGAATTCACACATCACAAATGACGATCCTCGCCATGAAATATGCTTTGATGTGTCTTCAGATGACCTCGCTGAATGAATGATTTATTACATAAGATGAATATCAACACTGTATTCTTTGCACCTGTTGATGTTTCTTAAAGTCTCCCTTTCTGCTGAATGAGTTACTCCAACCATCACAGGAATATGGCCAATCGCCACTATGTATGCGTTGATGTCTCTTCAGATGACCCCTCTAACTGAAAGATTTACTACAAACATCATAGGAATATGGACGCTGTCCACTGTTTATGCCCTGATGTTTCTTCACGTCCCCCTTGCACTGAATGATTATTACATGCATCATAGGCATATGGACATTCACCATTATGCACACACTGATTCACCTTAAGATGACTACTCAGAATGAATGATTTATTACACACATCACAGCAATATCAGCGCTTACCACCATTATGCACTGATGTATCTTGAGGTCCTCCTTACTAATGAATGATTTATTACACACATTGCAGTCATATGGATGCTTACCACTATGTATGGACAGATGTGTCTGCACATGACCCTTCCGACAGAATGATTAATTACATACATCACAGGCATATGTATGCTTTTCATTGTGTTTATGTTCATGTTTCTTTAGAAAACACCTCTGCCTGAATGATTTATTGCACACAGGACAGAAATATGGACGCTCTATACTATATATGTCTAGATGTTCTATCAGAACACTCTTTTGACCAAATGATTTATTACACACATCACAGGTATATGGACGTTCACCATTATGCACACGCTGATGCACAATCAGATGACAACTCAGAATGAATGATTTATTACACACATCACAGCAATATCAGCGCTGACCACTATGTATGCGTTGATGTATCTTGAAACCTTCCTTTCTAACGAACGATTTATTACATATGGATGCTCACCACGATGTACGCGTTGATGTCTCTTTCAATGACTTCTCTGACTGAATGATTTGTTACATACATCACAGGAATATGGGCGCTCACCAGTATGTATGAGTTGATGTTTCTTGAGGGCATCGCTACTAATGAATGATTTATTACATACATTACAGGAATATCGGCGCTCACCACTATGTATACGTTGATGTTTCTTGAGGATATCGCTACTAATAAGTGATTTATAACACACATCACAAGTATATGGATGCTCTCCACTATGTATGCGTAGATGTCTCTTCAGATTACTCCTCTGATTGAATGATTTGTTACATGCATTACAGGAATATGGGCGCTCACCACTATGTATGCATTGATGTAGCTTGAGGTCTTCCTTCTTAATGAATGATTTATTACACATATCACAGTCATTTGGGCATTCACCACTATGTATGCATTGATGTGTCTTCAGATGACTCCTCTGAATGAATGGTTTATTACACATATCACAGCAATATCGGTGCTCACCACTATGTAGGCGCTGATGTATCTTGAGGCTGTCCTTTCTACTACATGATTTATCGCACACATCACAGTCATATGGATGCTCTCCTGTATGTATGCTTTGATAGTTCTATACAGTATTCTGACTGAGTGCTTTATTGTAGTTATCAAAGGAATATGAATGATCCTCACCATGCATAAGTTGATGTTCATTCAATGGACTCTGTTAAAGAAAAGGAAAATATATTATGAAAACAAAATGGAAGGAATGAAATAAGTTGAAACTAAGGCGTAAAATGTCAATAAGTATTACATAAAACCAGTCCCATTACACGGCCATAATTTATTGAAAGGTCTGCTATATATAATCCAAAAATCATTTGCCCTCCTCGAAAACAGGTTTAAAACAGCTCATTCAGTATGGGATGTGACGACAGTCTGCAGAATTTTAACCCAAACCTGAGTCTCAAAATTCAAATTATACTGAAACCTTGAATGTTAGTCACTCAGGTCATTTTGTTCTTATCCTGTAGTAGGTCTGCATCTGAACTTGTTGGTGAACATATTTTCTTACTCATTGTGATAGCAAGATGTTATAAATGTGCTACTTGATTCTCGTGGCTCACGGATAATACACAAAAATCAGCTGAAAACAAAGTTTACCTTGGGTTCAGTCTTTACTGTGGAAAATGCTGATGGTACGTAAAACTCGTCAGGTATCATGCCAGTGGAATCTTCTTCACCAAGAACATCCACATCATCTTCTGTTTTGATTATATCAACATTCTGCAGGAGAATTATCAATTAAACATACTGATTTCAGATAATACATTTCACATATTCTTAAGATACGCAGCAAAGAGACTGTATGTATAATAGAGGATTCCATGCTGCAATTTTTTAAATTAAGTTATATGCAAGGCTTCAAAAATATAATAGGGAATGCTCTCAAACTAACATGAAGTCCTTTCAGGTGAAATTCTTCTCACTATTATTTCTCATATTAAAAATTCTGAAACATGAGAAATTTTGGAAATATTGTGCACTGCAAGAAACCTCACTAACCTTGTGTTGCTGGAGCAAAAAATTGAAAAGCTCTTACTGCAGTAAAGGCACAGGACATAGCCTGTTAAGAAAGTACTCCACATATACAGCTCTTTGAGAGTTACATTTCTTAAGTAAGCTTTATGGTTGGTCAATTAAACATTTTATATAAGAAAGTAATTTGTTTCAACTGGACACAGTTTAAAGTAATTTTGTCCTGTTCTGAATAATTAAGTAATGTAACAAACTCTACTTAATAATTACAATATGGAATTTCTCAATGTTCCTATGAGTTACTTTCGCCTATTGTAATGGAAAACTTATTAAGCTATGATTCTGTAAACATCATCAGTGACACATGCATGAGATTAAACTTATAAGGGCTTACTCAATCTCACTGAAATATATTACTTGAAATTCACAATATGAATACACTACACCCTTCTAATGTACAAATACTCCTGTAGACTTAAAGAGACAGAAATTAAAAAATAACATACTTACTTTGCATGTAAAGATCATATAAGTTTTTTAATTTTTTTCTTGCTGTAATAACATCATTATTGATCCAAGGAACATTTAAAGCATGTACAATGTTTCTTCTAACTTTTGTACAGGCTATATTAAAATAATAGTTAAAATACTATAAAAGAATCCCATTTTTTCTCTACATCATTATCCCAGAACATTTCAGTCCAAGTTTCATTTTGTATTAAAGAGCAAAGGCCTGATATATTGGCTTCTGATACATTCCTGCCCTCTCTATATCTTCTAATTTGTTGTGGTTAGTCATATTAATAGTTATACATTGAGCATAGTGATCTGAAAGTAGGCTGTTTAATACATCAGTGGAATTGCAGTGTGAAGGCATGTTAGTAATGATAATTGTTGCCATACTTTCAGTTACTGGAGTGGGTATATTTATTGTCATAGTCAGATTAAAAGCATTTATAATATTAGTAACTGTTTGTGGTCACACCAATCTTCTTGGGTATTTATATTAAAATCACCTACTGTTATAATATAACAATCTTTCTGTACTAATTGCTCAAAAATACCTGTTAACTGTATAAAAAAATCATGTAATACACCACTTGGTGATCGATATAATGCAATAATTATTTTTTTTCCTTTCACCTACTTGTTCTATACCAGCAACATCAAAAGTTTTTTCTAAACCTTTTTCTGAAATCCATTTCACAGTTTTATATTGTAATATATTCTTAGAGCTATAAATAGCTATCACATCCCCTTTATGTTCTCTTCTAGAGAAGTGTGAAACTACAGTATAACCTAATGTACATTGCATTATTTCATCATTTTTAAGAACATGTTCAGAAATGGCCAAGATATCTTTTGTGGTAGTTTGGAGGAATGCTGTAAATAGCTCAGTTTTATTTCTGAGATATTGTGCATTTTGATGTATTATTTTAAATTGTTGCCTGGATTGCATTCTTTTTATTTTGTAATGACTGGAGCCATTGTGGTCCAGTCTTTTTTATTAGTTTCCCTGACTTAAAAACCTAAGGCTATCTCATCAGAATTGATTTCTCTATTATTACCTATTATTTTACTTATTTCTTGAGTGACATACTCTTTACCTACCTATTTAAATGCTGTCCATGCCTTGTAAGATATGCTCTACGTATATTGCTGGAGTCCAGCACTTTTACCTACCTTGTTAATGTCCATATTTCCATTCCTTATTGACTACTGATTCGTTTATTTCATCATGCCTAATTGGTATATAAATTACAACATGCATGCATGATTTTATATATTTTTGATTAGCACACTTCTGGCAACAACAGCTTTGCATTTGGCATATTAAAGACATCTATGTGCTTTATGTTTATAACTTCTCCATATGTTCTCATCACCCTGATGATGGAGGCAACACGGACCTCGGAAATGTTGGTAAACTTCTGCCAGATTATGGGGTGCTACAACCCATAACAATGCCTTCTCCATATGTTCAAAACGTAAGACAGTGATGCAAGTACGAATTTACTTGCAAGGAGAATTATATTAAACTTCTTAAATAGTTATTAAAATTACTTTCTTTCGAATCTTAATTTATCTTTGCCACAGAAAATACTAACACTCTATGCTGTCTGTTGAATTTTCATGTGAGCGCAGCGTCGAAAGACGAAAACTTACAGACAAAAAATTCCCCAGAGGATAATTATATATGACGTACCGGTGACCACAGCATGGTGCCGTCCCCCGTAGCCACATCCCTTAGTCCAACGCTTGTTACCGGTTATCTGGTGGCCCTCCTGGATATTATCACTCTTTCTTGTATTGTGGTAATATTGTTTACAAGTGTATGACTGTAACCTTGCTACATGCCAAGACTGAAGAAGCAAAGATAGCGCCGGCCTTTAACGATTCGGACTTCCTGCATTCCTTGCAAGTCTACGATTACAGTCGTGCACTATACCCAAGGTTACTGTTGTTTGTTACAATCGCGTTCCCGCCAAGCGAAACGCGTGCAGTGTGGCTGTCCCCATAACTAGCGCTGTGTTGGATTGTAAATTATGATGGGGGGGGGGAATCCTCCACCACCACCAACAACCCACCTTGCTCTTCTTTCATCCACATCATCTTGTATAAAGGTAGAATAGTATTAGAAATAGAATAGAAACATTATCTATGACTTGTCTTGTTTTACATGAATGTGTCTTTGACTATCAACCTTAAGGCAATGTCTACGTAAGCGATAACAAGCGAGCTATGCCAGCTGCATAAGGAGGATGGGGTGTCATATGACATAAGGGAATAGCTTGTTATGTCCTTCGTGAGAGACCGCAATATTAGTACACGGCCTTCCTGCGCATGCACCTTCCGTGTACTGCACGGTCAGAGCTTTCTTGCGCATGCGCCTTATTGGCCAGCGCAGCGACTCGCGCGAAAATATCGAAATATTTGATATCGGACTTTGGCCGCTTCCCTCTCCTGACCGCTTCGCTGGAACCTAGGACAGCACCACACAAACAGCCAGTTTGATATTTCCGCTTCACCCACGCAACTCGCACCGCTCGCATTTAATCGCTCACGGGAGGGTGGGGCAAATTGCATAATGTAGAACTTTATATTATTATATTTTATTTGGATATTATTCATTGTCTATCACCTTATTTTATTCAGTCATCAAATGTTACTGTGTTGAACATTTTCAGGGTCATGTATCACAGATAGGGGGGAATAGAAATGCACAGAATATTGTAGTTATAAAATTTGAAAGGAAGAGATAATTAGCAAAACTAGTCCTGAAAATTCATTACACTATACTCACAGAGGTGTCCTTTAAGTTGTATTGGGATGGGTGTTGTGAAAGCGAGTGCTGTGTGTTGGCACATTAGTTGTGGCTGCATAATGGGACTGGTTTTATGTAATACTGATTGACATTTTACGCCTTAGTTTCAACTTATTTCATTCCTTCCATTTTGTTTTTATAATATATTTTCCTTTTCTTGCTCCAGCAACACAAGGTTAGTGAGGTTTCTTGCAGTGCACAATATTTCCAAAATTTCTCATGTTTCAGAATTTTTAATATGAGAAATAATAGTGAGATAGAATTTCACCTGAAAGGACTTCATGTTAGTTTGAGAGCATTCCCTATTATATTTTTGAAGCCTTGCATATAACTTAATTTAAAAAATTGCAGCATGGAATCCTCTATTATACATACAGTCTCTTTGCTGCGTATCTTAAGAGTATGTGAAATGTATTATCTGAAATCATTATGTTTAATTGATAATTCTCCTGCAGAATGTTGATATAATCAAAACAGAAGATGATGTGGATGTTCTTGGTGAAGAAGATTCCACTGGCATGATACCTGACGAGTTTTACGTACCATCAGCATTTTCCACAGTAAAGACTGAACCCAAGGTAAACTTTGTTTTCAGCTGATTTTTGTGTATTATCCGTGAGCCACGAGAATCAAGTAGCACATTTATAACATCTTGCTATCACAATGAGTAAGAAAATATGTTCACCAACAAGTTCAGATGCAGACCTACTACAGGATAAGAACAAAATGACCTGAGTGACTAACATTCAAGGTTTCAGTATAATTTGAATTTTGAGACTCAGGTTTGGGTTAAAATTCTGCAGACTGTCGTCACATCCCATACTGAATGAGCTGTTTTAAACCTGTTTTCGAGGAGGGCAAATGATTTTTGGATTATATATAGCAGACCTTTCAATAAATTATGGCCGTGTAATGGGACTGGTTTTATGTAATACTTATTGACATTTTACGCCTTAGTTTCAACTTATTTCATTCCTTCCATTTTGTTTTCATAATATATTTTCCTTTTCTTTAACAGAGTCCATTGAATGAACATCAACTTATGCATGGTGAGGATCATTCATATTCCTTTGATAACTACAATAAAGCACTCAGTCAGAATAATGTAAAGAACTATAAAAGCATACATACAGGAGAGCGCCCATATGACTGTGATGTGTGCAATAAATCATGTAGTAGAAAAGACAACCTCAAGGTACATCAGCGCCTACATAGCGGTGAGCACCGATATTGCTGTGATATGTGTAATAAACCATTCATTCAGAGGAGTCATCTGAAGACACATCAATGCATACATAGTGGTGAATGCCCAAATGACTGTGATATGTGTAATAAATCATTCATTAAAAAGGAAGACCTCAAGCTACATCAATGCATACATAGTGGTGAGCGTCCGAATGACCGTATATTCTGGTTATCAATTCATCATGAACTTTTATTCTTTAATGGTTTTTTCCAAGTACCCAAACATTTCCTTGTGATATAATTTAGATACTTAATATGCGTGATGACGGTTTTGCAGAACTGCATCAGTTTACAGGAAGTAATACCAGATTCGTATAGTGAAACATGTCCAATTTCTCCTCATGATGGAAGTCAGCTCATCAAAGTAAAAGATGAAGGCGAGACAGATATAAAAGAGGAAGAGGACCCTGTGCAAACAACGTTTCCAACAATAAAGGCTGAATGTGAGGTGAGTATAGTGTAATGAATTTTCAGGACTAGTTTTGCTAATTATCTCTTCTTTTCAAATTTTATAACTACAATATTCTGTGCATTTCTATTCTCCCCTATCTGTGATGCATGACCGTGTAATGTTCAACACAGTAACATTTGATGAACTGAATAAACGAAGGTGCTAGACAATGAATAATATCCAAATAAAATATTATAATAATATAAAGTTCTACATTATGCAATTTGCCCCACCCTCCCGTTACCATCTGACATGTGCCAGTGTTTTCCTCTGGAGTTTGTTCTCAAACACTCTGAAACCATGACATTTGAGGTTTTCACAGTAGTGAAAATGTCATCAAGAACGTTTTTAATCACCTGTACTACTACAGAGCATCATAACCTAAAAAAAACAAGTCAACAATATAATTCTAATTTCTTCCCTTAGGGTGAGAGTCAAAGACACATTCATATAAAACAAGACCGTTATGGTTTTACACACATAACAGTAAGATTAAACATATTTAACTACGTTGTAGAAACCTAAAACTTAACACAAAAGTTTACACGTTATTATATACCAGCTCAATCATATGACAAATTACGAATGATGCAAACAAAACACATATTTGCAAATATATATAAAAACTCCATCACAAATGGCAACATTCAAACGGTAAAGTTACACCAAATCATGGTCATAACACAAGACAAACAGAATTTATTTATA